AAGGCGATCCCAATCCAATGCCATATGGGGGTATTCTTCTAGTATATTCCAACAGGAATCCAACCTGTGGAGGGTTTCGATTGGAATCCTTCTGTGTGGGGGTTCAATGTGAATCCTTCGTGTGGGGGTCTTTCAACTGGATCCCTTCTTGCGAGAGGTTTTCATAGGAACCCTTCTGTGGGGGGGGGGCGCTAAAACTCGCCCGCGCAATGCCAAAGCAGTGCAAACGCAACGCCAGAGCAATGCAATGGCGATACCAATGGAATGCCAATGTAGCGCCAATGGGGGGGATCGTCTGTGGTAGATTTCAATCGCAACCTTTCTAAGAACCTTTATGTGGATGATGCCATCCACAGGGGAACCTCGTGAGAACCCTTCTTCGGGGGATTTCAACTGGAAGCCTTCAGTGGAGGGTTTCGCATGGAACCCTTCTGTGGAGGAGTTCAATGTGGACCGTTCTTGTGGGGAGATTCAAAAGGCATCCTCCATGTGGGGGTGCTCACTTGGAATCCTTCTGAGCAATGTTTGATCAGGACTCGCCAGCACAATGCCAGTACATTGCCAATGCACTGCCAACGCACTGCCATCGCACTGCCAACTAAACACCCATGCGATACCAAAGCATTGCCAAACCAATGCCAATGCAATGCCGATGGTGGGATTCCTGCCTTTCAACAGGTGTCAATTTGAATCCTTATGTGAACGATTTCGTTACGGATCTTTCTTCGGAGGATTTCGATAGGAATCCTCTTGTGGAGGGTTTCGATTGGAGTCCTTCTGTGGAAGTTTCACTACGAATCGTTCGTGTGGGGGCTGTTGAAGAGGATCGACCCCCCTCTGGTGGAAGGTTTTACTAGGAGTCCTTGTGTGTGGGGGGGGGGGCATGAGAACTCGCCAGCGCAATGCCAACGCCATGCCAAACCAATACCAAGGCGATCTCAATGTGATGCCAATTCAACGCCAACGGGGGAACTCGTTTGTGGTCGGCCTCAGTTGGAATCCCTCAATGGAGGGCTTCGCATGTAATCCTTCCGTGAGGAAGTTCAATAAGAACTTTTCTTGTGGAATGATTCAATCGAAGTCCTTTTATTGTGGGGATTCAATCGGAATCGTTCTGCGAAGGGAGTTATTGGAACTCGACAGAGCAATGCCAAAGCAGTGCCAACGCAATGCCAAACCAGTGCCAAGGCGATCCCAACCCAATGCCAAAGCAGTGCCATTTGGGGACATCCTTTGTGGTAGAGTTCCATGGGAATCTTTCTATGGAGGATTTCGCATGTAATCCTTCCTTGGAAGATGTCAATACGAACCCTTTTTGCGGAGGGTTTCAATAGGAGCCATTCTTGTAGATGGTTTCAACCGGAGTCCATCTGTGGAGGGTTCTAAAGGAAAGAGGCACACCAAACAACGAACAACGGCATTGATTCTTTTTGGGAGGAGGACGAGGAGGAGGAGGAGGAAAAGGAGGGAAAGGAGGAGGGAGACACATTTCCTGGCGGGGGCCCGCCCAGTTTTTTTGTTGTTTTTTTTTTTTTTGTTTTTTGTTTTTTGTGTTTTTTTGGCGTGGCACACCAAAAAACGAAACATTGCATTCATTGGTATGGAGGACTTCGCATGTAATCTTTCTTCGGAGGGTGACAGCATGAACCCTTTTTGCGGATGGTTTCACTAGGAGCCCCTTTTGTAGAGGATTTCGATAAGAGTCCTTTTGTGGAGGGTTCTAAAGGAAGGAGGCACACCAGAAAACGAAAACCGGCATTCATTCTTTTTGGAAGGAGGAGGGGGAGGGGGAGGAGGAGGGAGGAGGAGGAGGAGAGGAGGAGGAGGAGAGGAGGAGGAGGAGTAGGAGGGGAGGAGGAGGAGGAGGAAAAAGGAGGAGGAGGAGGAGGAGGAGAGGAGGAGAGAGGAGAGGAGGAGAGGAGGAGGAGGAGGAGGAGGAGGAGAGGGAGGAGAGGAGGAAGAGGAGGAGGA